GAGACGTTCGTGGAGGGTGGTTGTCCAGAACTCACGTCCCATTGGGGCCCGTAGAGAAAATGACGGCATGTGTAGACGTGTGGAGGTTAACTTAGACACCTATCCAGCCAGTACAGCTGGCCTCGTCATGTCCTGCCAGGCTGCCGGGGCGGAGGGACTGGTACCTGTGCACACCTCCAGCCCTTTGGGATGGGAAGCTGGAGTCTAGACCATCCCAAGGCGTTGCTGCGTGGGAGATGCAGTGCGGGGCCTACAGAGGCGGCAGACAGTGCCTGACGGAGCTCACGGCCTGTGCAGTGCAGGCTCCTCCAGGAACCTCGCCCACTGTGTGCACTGTTGAAATGGTTACCAAGAGTCACGGGGGCCAAGATGGGAGTGGGGTGGAGAGGGGCCTCTACCAGGGGAGTCACAGAAGAGGTGGGACCTCAGTTCAGCCTGGCAGGTGCAGAAGGGACTGAGGGAGGAGTTGATTCGGGGCACTGCAGTGTAGTAAATTACTTAGTGTGGCTTTTCTAGCCATAACTCTTTGCAAACTGTGGTGGAATTTGCTGTGAGCAACTGAGAAGCTCCTGATTGTAAAAGTTATCCACCTGGGGATTTCTGTTGGGCGCAACACAAAGCAATGTTCTGGAAGGTTCCTGCTCGCTCTCAGGTGCTTAGAATTCTTGTGTTATGATTGATTAGTTTGGCCGCTCTGCCAGGCTCAAAAGGAGGCTTCCTAGAGGCGGAAGTCTCTCTCTGACTGCTGGTTCAGGAAGATGTGCTGCTGAAAGAGACATGTGCTCTGAGACACGTGCTGCCGGAAAAGAGACACAAGAGACATGCATTGCTGAGTGAGACACGGAGGGACATGCACTGCTGGGAGAGAGACTGTTGGTTGAGAGACGGTGGGCTGGGAGAGAGACAGCGTTTTTTCCTGAATTTGAATTGTAGCCTGTGGTGCTTCCCTAATAAACCCCATAATCTGTGAGTTCTGTGTGGCCACTGCAGTGAATTATCAACTTATCGAACCTAGTAGAGAGGTGGTGGGTGCTTTGGGAGGAACGGTTGGTGAAAGGCCTGGAGGGAGGCAGCATGTCTGGCCTTGCAGGACTAGGCCTTGGGTTACTGGCAGTGATTCTGTCTTCCTCTTGTGGGGCTAGAGGAGGTCAGAAGATGTGGCCTCCTTGCCCTTTTGGCAGGCACGACTGGGGAAGTGCCCACAGTGTCCAAGGACTAGCAAGTAATGATTTGGCAGGGAGTGGCCACACCAGGAGCATGAGGAGGGTGCGGAAGGTGGTTGGGGGAGTTCATGAAACCCCCAAATCCTACTGAGCTTGCATTTCTGTAGCCAGTGGGGAGCCCTTGGAGGCTTCTGGGCTGGCCTGGCAGGCCCAGAGCTCGGCCCCCCACTCTCAGGCTTACAACCCCCCACATGCAACTTGGCTTCTAAACAGGCTGTCCCTTTATCATAGTATGGACTCCTGCCCACCAGCCCAGGTCTGGCTGAGGCCACCTCTGCTAGGCTGGGCCTCCACTAGACTGACCTCACTGTCTCCTGCCCACTGACAAAGTGGAATTGCAGAAATGGAAGACATGTTACAATAGCAGGGGGAGAGGGAGGGTAAGGTGTTCCTTGAAATCTCTAAAAATAAATGACCATGAATGGTTTCAATATTGTTGAACAATGATCATGAGATACCAAAAGCTACAAAACACCATCCTGGATGGGAACCGCTGGGAGGCAGGTTTTGGTTCCACTTATGAACTTTGTGACTTGTCTTTAGAGGAAGTGAACACCTCATCTTGGAGATAAGTAGGAACCAACTGACTACTTGGCAAGAAAGCTGTGTAGGGGATGGGAGCTGAGTGAGGCCCAGTCCAGGGCTACTACTTGAAGCAATGTGAACTCCCAATGAAGAGCATGGTGAAAGTGGACAGTATTCATATTGTATTAAAACAAATCACATATTGCACAAGTGCTGTCATTTAAGATATCTGCAAATAATTTGTCAAACCAATGAGGAAATTTCTACAAATTCAAATCTGAACGAGGATAAGTGAGGTGGTCCTTATAGCTGTGGATCCCAAGGACGCTACAGTTCCGTGCTGAGGATATTCAAGGAGGCTCCTGTTACTGCCCAACGGCAGCTGGGAATGTTGGCTGTGTCCAC